TTTAGACTATTTTCCCTGAACCCTAAACCCAAGGGGTTGGAGTTTAGGGTTTAAAAGGGCTTAGGCTTGGGGGCATCCTGAGAGTAGCGGACGGAGCACCGGCGGGTCCTGGGTTGCTGACGTCTGGATTCAGGGTTTAGGGTCTAGGATTTAGGATTTAGGGTGCAGAGTTTAGAATTTATGGTTTAGGATTTGGGATTTAGGGTCTAGGATTTAGGGTTTAGGATTTAGGGTTTAGGATTTAGGGTTTAGAGCTTAGGGACAGCTTTTTCTTGAGGTTGAACACTTCCCCGACCCGGTATAAGTCATTTCGACAGGGGTACTTGGGGGCCAGGGGGCCTTAGTAAGTAGGCTAATGAAAGGGTCAACTGGGGCAATTATTTAGCTTAAAGGGGTTATAAGAGACTTACCAACTCCCCCTGACTTTCCCACTAACACTCGCATTAAGGGCTCCGTTTATTCATAGTGTTATTATCCAAGTGTTACTGGATGAGGGTCTTATCCGAGGTTGAGGCTTCAAGGTGATGCCAAGGTCTTCTGCTCAACCGGGTCCATACAGGAGCTACGGACTAAAGTTAGGTTGGGGGAGGACTTGGAGGGGAATGTATAGGGTGTTAGGGGGACCTATTAAGGAATATACTAGAACTTTAGTGCAGGGCTCACATGTTAACAAAAGCTAGGGCTTGCTTCGAATCACCACTCAGGGCTCAGAAGCGAAAGTAGTTGAGGCCCCAAGTTTCGAGCATGAAAACCATGTCCCTGAGCAAACCCCAAATGATCAAATGATATGATACTGCTAGCCATTCCTCCGACCACCATTCCTACAACCACTGCTGCCATTTCTATCATGAAGCGGCTCCCCACGCATAGTTCTACCCGTTTCCTCCGTGCCATTGCCCATGGAACTGCATTTGGTAGTTTCCCAAAATAGGGGGACCCCAATATAGACCCCAATATAGTGTTGGGACCCCGAAATGGTACCCCTATACAATTTTAGAAAACCCCATTTCAAAAAGGTGCCGCGAATAACGCGGCCCATCGAACGTTTGGGGTCCCACGGTCTCTCCGTGATGTCCTTTCGGGAGTGCCTCTGGCTGTCAAGATGTATGCTAGAACGCTATTCTGGGAGGTTTGTTGTTCTCAACACAAGAATAGTGAACTACTGTATTTCTTATTCTTATTCCTACTATTAGTTTCCCTTTTAGTAGTCGTATGACTATTACTATTATTCTTGGTTGCTAGATGTTTCATTCAGGCTTGGAAGTGTCAGAGAATGAGGTTCGACGCTGGGTTCCCGGGTCCAGGTTCTAGTGTTTACCGCCCAGGCTCTACGACTTGCCGAGAGTTCAGTTAGGTTTTTTAAATTAGAAATCGCGGTTCAACAGGGCCAAAAAGATCAAGGTTGGAGCGCTTAGGGTTTACTTATTGGTTCGTAGTAGGTAATAAGTAGGGAGTATTTTCCCTTATATTCCTAACTGAGAAGCGGTAAGTTTGGGGGGAGGGCACCCCAAGTCCCCTTGATTGAGGAACTTTCATTGCTTGGCTTGGCAGTGGGTGTCATGGCAGGCTGTGTGCTGTCTGTTTGTTTGCCTTACTGCGGGTAAGTAGGGAGTACGGGAATATAATATGTAGGGAGTCTATTCCCTTATTCCCTACGAACCACCAGTAAGTTACGGGGCTTTGGCTTTCCTCGAACAGGAACCAAAGCATGTCCGAAGCGTGTAAGTTCTTTGTCTTGGCTGCTTTTGGGTATCTCAGGGCTAATGTCACGAGCATTGACCGTTCAGCATGAGGATTATGATTTTGTTGCAGAGGCATGGTGGTGACCAGAAACAGGGTTCCCCCCATACCACCCCTCCCGAAAGGCTATACGCACCAAAACGTTGAAATCCGGATGGGTGTCCTTGCTTGGAAATAACTATATAGGGATTGTCTTGAGAAATGTTCTAAGACCCCCCTGGGTGTGTTGGGGCGCCATTTCCACCTCACCAGCCGTCGCGCGACAGGATGCCGTAAACCCTAAGCCCTAAACCCTAAATTTCTAAACTCTAGGCCCTAAGCCATACATCTCTCTTCCCAGGCGCATGCTGAAGCTCGCATGTCCTGCGGTGGTAGAAGGACATCTACCTGAGGCACAGTGGAGGCTAAGCTGGTTTAGGGCCGAGGGTTTTTACCCTTATTACAGTTACTCTTGCTTCTTACGATTACTATTACCATGACCATTACTACTACCATTGTTACTACTATGACTATTACTATGATTATTTCTATTACTTCTCCTGATACTACGTCTGTTCTTAGTATCAACCATTACCTTGATCAATGCAGTGTCAGACTTAGCTGGCTTTTCCTGCTTCTGCAAAGCGGGTCTTGCAACACCTGTAAACCCTAAGCCTTGTTGCTGTCCTGAACAGGGACCTGCATAGTGCTGTCATACTCTAACTTAATCCTGCAGAGTATCACCTCCAGCTTCAGACGCCTAAAAAAGTCAAGATGCTCTGACCAGAAAATTACAACTGAGGGTCTTAGGGTTTAGGGCCGTTCAGCGCCCTTTGTGACCTTACCCTCGGACCCCAAGCACCACTTCCAGCCTTTCCACCCAGTTTAGGGTTTAGAGTCCCCAAACCAAACACTGTCTACACGAAGCGCTCTTCTAACCCCGACCCCCCTGCATTACAGAGGCTCCTTCTTACTGTATGGAATCGTAATACCAGGCAGTGGAATGGGGAGAATTTGATTATTGCATGGGGAGTGGCCTTTTTCAAAGATGAGGAGGGGACTGGTATAGCAACAAGCCCTTGATTTACTTCCTAGCCCAAACACGGTCCGGAAGAGAGCTATTTTGTTCCAAAGGCCCCACAAGACATGATTCTACGAGGGCCGAGTTCAGAGTGGCGTTTAAGCTGCGCAAATTACGACGACCTCACCTTAAATGATCTATATGTGGTTTGTATAGAGAGTGGTCCCAGATTGGCTTCACTGGCTAAATTTGAAATTCTGAAAAGGCTTTCAGGCTTCCGGAGGGGTAACCCTCGAAGCCAACAACACTCTGAATGCAGCGCTGCTTTGTACAGCCAGCCATGTTCTCGAAGACTCGAGACTGCACCTTGAGGCTTATACGCCTGAAAGTGAAAGTCTGGGTAGGCCCCTGGGATACTTAATATTTTCCCTAATGGCTTTAATAGGGGACCCTATATGTTAATATTTTTCAAAGGGTTTTAGGGGCCAACCCAGAAGTTTCCGATGTCATCCCCAAACCTTAGGCCCTGTTTTCGAAGCTTTAAATCCGTTTAAATCCGTACCCTCAGTCCCTGATTTCATGCCAGAACATCACAACTCTCGAATTCTCCAGCAGGTGCACCAATATGATTCTAGATTCCTAGTATGATTAAGGACGGTATATGGCAAGTATAGGATGCCTCAGACAGACCACAGAAGGAGATTCGGAGAAGAAACGTAGGCGGCTGTATTGCCTTGGGGTAATGGAACCCAGAAATTCAGGGGTCACTGTTTTCATGTTAGGGCAGTTGTCAAAATCAAGGTTATTTTTGACATCCTACATCTTACTGGCTGCATGATAGTGGGGGCCCAAGACCAAGAGAAAAGAAGACTACGATTCCGACGAAGTACCAATGTTAGCTTGCATCATGAAGGCAGGGAACGGCATCTTAAGGCGGTTGTCTCCCTCAACCCTAAACCCTAGAACCTGAACCTGAAAATGAATAAGCCTTAAAACAACCCTGAGCCGCAAACCTGAACCCTAAACCCTAGACCATAGATGCACCCTCAATGAACCCTGACCCCTAAACCATGTGTAGACCCTAAACAAAGCTTAAACTCTAAACCCCAGTGTATTGAACCCTGCCCCTCAGCCCCAATTAAGGACGACCCAGGGATGGGGCGACCTGAGGCATCCCGGCTTTGCATGAGGGATCCTGCTTGGAGGGTCGCGGGACATAGCAAGTATATTAATACCCTATTAAAACCTAAACCTTAGATCCTACACCCTATACCCCAAAACCCTAAACTCACCCTAAGCCCTAGATTCCTAGATCCTAAACTTTAATAATGGGGATAATTGGGGTTACTATATGGCTTATAGGGGTTATAAGTCTACCTACTAAGTCCCCTGACCCTCCAAGTGATTAATGTAGAAGCTTAGATAAAGTTCAGTTTTTAGGGGATTAATGTAGGAGACTAGATAGGGGGCTATTCTAAGGCGTGTGTGTATATATATATATACACATTATATCTATCTACACAATGACCACATGTGGGGGTATATGGGCTTAGGGAATAATATGCAACGTAGGGATAATGTAGGGATTATATAGTGCTTAGGGATGTTACCTCAATATCGGAGAATCAAATGATCAAATGGCCAAGAGGGTTACAGAAGCTGTGGTGTAGCAGTCCAAGTACTGTAACTGCCAAAATTGTGGTGCAAGCGTCCTTCTTTCATGAAGGAACAGGGTAGCTCAAACAGACCTGACCAACCTGGTGATAATTTACCTAAACCCCAATATGCTACAATCCTCCTTATGGGTTTCCATCAAAACGCGGACCCCTCACTTGGACAAACCCCCATTTCTGAAGATCACCAGAAGTTTCGGCGGGTTCCGGCAAATGTCTGCGATCAGCGATTCTAGGTCTAAGTAAGGTCTGTGGTCATTCAGGATTTGTCAATGACATATGGTAGGCTGTCAAGATTGCTTTCGTTCATGAGGTCCCTAGTATAATACGGCCCCGAATTTTTAGGTTACCCCGAAAACAGGACCCAGGCTTCCGGCAACGCCCCATATGGCTCTGTAGGAGTTCAACAGGGATTGCTTTTGGAAGAAGCATATTGTTTTGTACCATCATGATTGGCCTTCTTACCGTAGCCGTAATACCATGACAATCACTTGAGGGCCTTAAGTCCTGAACCCTAAATCCTGAACCCTAACCCCTAAACCCTCCTGGGCAACCAATAAGTAGACTCGAGCTTTCTTGCTCGCCAGGTTCTGGGCATCGCGCCACGGGCATCGCACAATCCCCATCGAAACTTGTTGCCGCATAATCCCGGCCCCCTAATGTCAAACCCCCCCAACCCCCTAATCAAATATTCCCACGAGATTTTTACAATATACCACAATGGGGAGTTTTCCTTCTTAGGGGGGGGTGGGGGGGTTGAATATTAAGGGGGAGGGGATTAGGGTAGCGCAGGTTCGAGGCAGCTCTAAAATTCCCTACCCCTTCATGGGATGGTATATGAGCTATAGCCTAAACTCCTTAAAGGGGGCTTACACAGGGGGTTATAGAGGGTTTAGGATTTAGGGTTTAGGGTTTAGGGTCTGAACTCCTTAAAGGGGGATTATGTAGGGGACTACTATTGGGGTTACAGAAGCCTCAACCCTGAAGCTAGAATCCTAAACCTGCGCCCCTTGTTGAACAGGCTTTTGTAGGTTGATTTTTCGGAAGTCCGATAAGCAATTTGCAAAGATAGTTTTCATGTTGTCCCCGGGAGCCAGAAGCCCGAAGCCTTCACCAGCAGCCAGGAAATGGGCTTCGCTGAGGATGACGCGCAGAGTCGTGAGTTGCAGCAGTCAACAGCCTCAGAAGGAGAGGTAGTGAGAGTTAGGGCTATAAGGGCCTGAGGGGGAAGGTCTGCATTTTCGTATTTGGGCAAGGGGTCAGGCTTCATGTTTTAAACTTCAGAGACGAAGGTTTAGGCCCAATCCAGTTTTTGCATGCAGTGGGGTCCTGGGTACTGAGCGGCATGTTGACTCTTCCGGTCTTGCCGAAGGAAGCTTCATCATGAACGACTTCGTGATGAAGTATCTGCTACCCTCCAATGAATCCAGCCAACGTAAGCTGGAGGACTGGCCCAGCGAGGCCATTGATGCGTGGTCCGTGTCTGAGGCAAGGGGATTTTATGATGGTTTAGGGTTTAGGGTTCAGGGTATGGTTCCGGGCCCATAATCCCCAAAGCGCCTTCTACAATACCCATAAGATTCGCTGGAACAAAGGAAGGTAGATAATAGACCACAAGCACTAACAAAGGACAAGAAGGCTGTTATTCTACATACTTTGGGAGCTCAGGCATAATATACCTTATCAAGCCTCTCCCCAATATTCCGGATGTTGATCCGTAGGTAAACCCTAAACCCCAAACCTTTAGGTGGCTTACATGGCACAGCATCAACTACTGATGCAGAGCCTCGGCTGTTTAAGAGATACGCTCATGTCAAACAAACATGGTACCCGTCCATGAGGCTGTACCAGGAACATAGGGGTATATGGGGAATATGCGGGGTAGACAGGGACATATGGGAGTATAAAGCATGAATAGGGTTTAGGGTATATACTTTCTCCCAAATAAACATGCAACGTCAAAAGCGCCCACGCGAAGACTTTGAAAGAGGGGTCTATGTGGAGTTCCACATTTGTTGTGAGGGGTGCTGTTGGAGGCAAGGCTTTTGATTGGGGCTAAGGGCTCAGCCTTCTGGGGAGAGTGTAGGATGCGGCGTTCCCCAAAATTAGGGTACCCCAATATAGACTCCAATATACTATAGTCCTTATTATAGGGACCCCCCAAAATTGTATTTCTTTAGTTGCGTCATAGCCAGATGCGCGTCGGTCAGGTTGAAGAGAGTCGGGTACTAAAGATGGACACAGGGTCCCTAAATGAGCCATAATCTACACTCCTTGAGGGGCGTTGTTTATTATTTGCGTTTAGAGAATAGGTTTTAAGGATCTAAATTCCATAGAGGGGTGATGTAGTGGATTACAGGGGACTACTATAGGGGCTACTCCGGGGGAAACTAGGAGTCTCATATGCTCCCAGTGGAGTCTCAAGAACTTCTGATTTGAATCCATCACGAGGATTTGCTGTCAAAATCCTGAGTGACTTCAAAGGATACTATACTGTGGATATGCGTATGGATTCACGGGTAATTGGGACCCATGATTAATATTAAACCCCTCCTTTTAAGGGCCTTAATATTAGGATCCCTACTAAATCCTTATTAAGGGGAGGGGGTTTATTGATCTGGCGTCTACGTTACCCCCATTGTGCCTATTCGCTGGGGAAATGGGAAATTTGAGCGAACCCCTCCCCCCCCCAACCCCCCCCCCAAATGGTGGTACATGTACGCGCACACACTTTTGCATATAAACATATGTAGCACACACATGTGTATATATGGTCCCCCTTCAGTAGAAAGAATATGGCTTTGACCAAAACCATAACAAGATCCCCATATATCCCATATTCTATCTACTTAACCC